GCTGATCAAGGTCATAGACTGATGCTCAATACAGTGAATAATTGAAATATGTGCACGTTTAACACGTTAGAATGAGCCATCAGTCTTTATTCATGCTAAGATCCTTAAAACCACACACTAAATATTAAATATGTGCTAAAATAAAATAAAATAAAATAAGAACGAAGAAAAGAAATTTCTGGTAGAGATTTTGGTTTGTAAAATATTCGGCACAATGACTTTAAACAGTTCAACACTGTAGAAACCTTTAAAAAGACTATAGACTGTTGTGTTTTGGAAAATATGGAGCTCTGGAGTTGATGAATTATGCATTGAGTTTTGTTTGTTTTAATGTATATTTTGTTTATTTATATGTACAGTGATTGGAGTTGTGAATGCAAACTTGTTGTTCATGCGTTTGGTACCTTTTGTTTCAGCTCAGACTCTTCCTGTCATGACCTATGTAGTCGTGGTTTATGTTTTGTTTTTGTTTGCCTCAAATGATTAAAAAAAGTGCTTTATCAAGGTAGATTTAAAAAACAAACAAAAAAAAACCTTGCAGTAAAAAGTAATTTTTAATTGATGCAAGGTCATTTGGGCCAATTTACCTGGAAGCCTGAGGGCCAAGAAAAATTTATCTGAGGGCCGTATTTGGCCCACAGGCCTGCTCTAAATAGTCTGTTCCACCTTCACTTAAAAAAACAACAACATGTGGATAAATTAAAATTACTTAAATTAAGAACATTTTACGTTATTTGAGTCGATTCAACTTGACAGGTAAAATTATCTACTAATGGAGTAAGTGTGTTTTTTTTCATTCAAGCAACATTCGATTTTGTTTCTTCTTTTAAGTGCAAAAAGTTGTAGTTTTTCTTAATTCAAGAGTAGCAAGATGCGTTTTCTTATATTTAAAGTACAAAAAGTCTTGTTCTACTGGCAGATAATTTTACTCATCAAGTGAAATTTACTCAAATCCTGATAAAACTTTCTTAACTTGGCTAGATTTTGTTTTTTGTGGTGTTGTAATGTCATTAAGTAGTCGCTTTCAAGTTAACATCTACCCTTTTACCTTTAGTTCAGTAGAGATTGGCAATTCCAGATCAGAAAATCATCCAAATGCTTCTGATGCTTAAAAACACAGTGGAGCTCTTCCTGTATTACCAAATGACATCACAAGGTTTTCAGTTTGAAAGAAGACCTGCAAGATTTGTTAAACATGTGCGAATGAAAAAAAAAACACAACTCCAGGTCTGTTTTTGATGAGGAAACAACATTATAACAAAGATCAGAAAACAGAGGCTTTAAAAATAATTGAAAGAGGAGGTACAAAAAAAATCTGTTGGTGCACAAATGGTGTCCTAAGGTTACCTCTGGGCGACTGGGTAAGAGAGAGAAAGCTTGTTCACTTTGTACTGGTGTTTTTACATTGCAGATTAAAGGCAATGGCTGCAGGGCTAGGAAAATAAACTGCGCCAAGATAGAAGGAGTCTGTATGTGACCCAGAGGCATGGAAATGTGTGTGTGTGTATGTGTGTGTGGAGCAGCAGGTCAGTGAATGAGTTGACTGTGAGCGATTAAGATGGAGGGAGAATTTACTTTTGCTCCAATCTCCCTTTAGCACCTAGTCCCGGTTAAATGTTTATCTCAAATGGAAAGTTACTCAACGGTTCAGGCGAGTGGGGCAGTCCTGAATTTGTTCCATCTCATAACGCTGCCAGTGCAAAGTATAACTACCCTCTGAAATGTAATTTGATCCACCAATAGATTTTTTAATGTTATGTCTATAAAATAAATCTAAACAAAATTGAGAATTTTATGAAGCAGGGCTGCAAGACTAATTGCAATCAAATCGGAATCTCAATTTGAACATTTAGCAAATCGCAAGGCTGCATTTATTTAAGTACCGTAATTTAATTTTCAAACAACATCATATTTTATTCTGCATATAAAAAATGCTCACACTGTGGTTTAGACCCATAGACTGTGCAAAGAAGTGGACTAAAGGAGTGTGACGCTACCCAAATGAAGCTCACAGAGGCTTGCAGAGTGAATTTGGAGCTGATTCCCTCTGGAGGCCGCCACATACTACAGGATTTTTCAGTTTTAAATGATATTTAAACGTGCGACAAAAAGCAAACACCACAGACATGAACAGAATCTCACAGCGCACCTCACATCAGCTGTTTCCTGCCACCTAGTGCCTCCGTTCAATTTCATTTCTCTCCAACAACTAGCTCAGGAATCGGAATACACTAGACGGTTCGTAAAAACAGCGGAAGTGCGAGTTCGGGCACCAGCCAATTAGCGAAGAGCCATACATTCTGTGTTGGCGACGATTCCCGAGATCGAGGATTTAAAGCCGGAACAAAGAGAATGTTTGGTGAATTTGATCAAGGGGAGCGACGTTATTGCCCTTCTTCCTACGAGATTTGGGAAAAGCTTAATATACCAGTTTCCCCGTTAGTGGCTCATTACATATGTGAGGACCAAATAACAGTGATTGGTTAACCTCTTAGAATTCCAGGCCATTTTTGTGAAATCACTCTTGTTCTGACCTCTCCAAACTAAAATGATTGCCATGAGTGAACCCTCAGTTGCATATACACAAGTTTGGGTTTTTTTGTAAGGTAACACCCAATAGTTTCACCCACAGGTGTAAGAATCACTCTAAGTATGTCTGGTAGGTATTTATACACTTTGGCACACACCTAAAAAATTATTTTTTCTCATCCTCGCCCAAATTTTTTTGTTAAAATTAAGGTGTAGAAAGCTGCAGTAGGTAGCTGGGGACTGAAACACTCTATATTTCTATTGAAAACCATGTTGACCTCTTACATTTCAAATTTGATGAGAATATCTATAAAAATGAGGATTTTAGACTACTTTTATTGCTAGTATATTTAGGCGTTTTCCAGAGGGACTTTTGCTTTATCCAAATTTATCCAAACCTATCCAAACCTATCCAAATGGAGACATTTGGAGAACGTTTGGAAAAAAATGCAATAACTTTTGAATGCTTCAACCCACAGACATCAATGAGGGCTCTACTGAAAGCTCACACTTAGAGGAATCTTTATCTACACACCAAGCTGCTCTATTCCTTATGAAAATATATATAGCATATCAAAACACAATATAAAATGTATATTTATATATATAAAATATAGTCAAAACAAGTGTTATGGGTCAAAATAAATGTATATTTACAAATGTATAACAATGCAAACTGTAAACAAAACATTTCAAACTGTAAACAAACACACTTCAAACCGTAAACAAACACAATTCAAACTGTAAACACACACACACTGCAAACTGTAAAAACACTTTTCTATTGTCCTTGTTCTTTGTGCCAGTCATTATAACAGTCCCTTTGTGGCTGGAAACACAGGGGCACGTCACAGGTTGAACATTTTACAGCCGTTTTCGCATGGCACTTCCTGCATTTCAGTCTTCCTTGGGTCTTGTCACCACTTGCGACGATGTGCACAAGACGATGATGTGTCTCTTTCCTACTCTCCTCCTCCCGCTCTGTACTGATGGCTCCTGCCTCTGCCAGCTCCAATACAAGGGTTTCTCTAAATGCCTTTTGGTGCATTGGGATTTTAGCCTTTAACGTGCACTGTCCTTTATAAAGGATAAAGGCATTCACCACAGCAATGTCCACAAAATGATAAAAAAAAAGTCTTGTACATTTTTTGGTTTTGTGTAAAACCTCATAATATCCGATCAATGCATCGGATAGGTCAACGCCTCCCATGTGCCTAAGGAAAAACACAAATACGTTAGCAACAAGCAAGTACAAAACTGAGAGGGGATGAAGCAATATTATATCATATACATACCTGTTATAGTCCTTGATGGCTGGTGGAACTGGCACATCTTTCATAGTCCAACAGCCTGTGTCATCCTTTACCCGGCGCTCCACTGTCTCCTCTCCATGGGCAGTGTGCATGGTGGAGCAGATGAATACATCACGGGTGTCTTTCCATTGGACAAAGAGCAAGGGGTCCTCACGAATCCACCTTATACTGCCACGGGGAGCTCTGGAGTCCAGCGTATTTTCTGTTGTCCTGGGGTATCCTTGTCTATTAGTTCTTATTGTGCCACAGGCTGACACTTTTTTTTTCAGAAGGTCACGGAATAGAATAGGGCTAGTGTAAAAATTGTCTTACATAGAGTTTATAGCCTGTGCCCAGTAGAGATGTGTCCAAAAGGGTCATAACAGAGTCATAGCTCAGCCCGTTCTTGCTGGCCTGAGAGCTTTTGCCCTCATAAACAAAGAAGTCCCATGTGTAGCCTGTTTTAGAGTCTGCCAAAACAAACTTAACATAACTTGTAGCCCCACCTTACAGGTTTGCTTTTTAAGTATTGTTTGAAGCTCACTCTTGCCTTTGATGCCACCATCCTTTCATCAATGGCGATATGCTGACCAGGTTGGTAATTCTGGCGGCATGCATCTCTTATCTCAGTATACAGTGGTTTGATCTTGCCCAAGCGGTCAAACTCTTCAGTGCCTCTTTTTCCTTCATTTTTGGCATCTTCTTCTGGACTACTCAAGTGGAGAGCACGGATAATAGAAAAGAATTTCTTTCCGGTCATAACTGATTTAGGGAATGGTAGGCTGTACAACTTTCCTCTTCTCCAGTAATCAGTAAGTGAAGGTACTTTTGCGAATCCCATGTATATAACAAGTGCCAAAAAAGAGAAAATGTCTTGAAGCGCAATGTCCGTCCATGCTCTGTATGCTGATTGGCCATGCATATTTGTGTTTCTGATAAGTGTCGATAACACAGTACCAGTAAAAAACAGCTGGAAAAGTTCCAGACATGTGTAGTCAGATGTGCTAATGAGTTGAGGTCCAGGAGTACGTGTAGGACAAAAGGGAAGGGGGGTAGGTGTGAAATCCGCCACTTCTGTATTGTTCCAACGTCCTGTGGAAGGTGAAGATGGTCTTGCACCTCTGCCTCTGCCTCTGCCCCTCCTCCGTCCTCTGCCTCTTTTTGCTGTTTTCTCAACCCGGGAATCTTTGAGGAAGGGCCCGGCTCTGGTTCGGCTGCAGGCACTGAAGTCAGTCTAAAATGAAAACAACAAAAACATATTATAATACTATAAATGATTTGTAAACAGTAAATGCTACTATACAGATTGCTCTACAGACTATTATTCTACTACTGTATAATATTCAACCACTACTTACACTTGCCTCCCTCCCCCACAAACATTCACACCATATTTACACCTTGCAACTAACTTCATTCCAACATTGTATACACCTAAAATAGTCTCATACTGTAACAATGCACTCAAAATACATTGCATTTATTGATCAAATAAAGTAACTTACTCAGGGTCATCAATTTCCACATGCACCTCAGCCAAAACTTCAGTGTCTGGTTCCCAATCAGGGTCAGAGTCATTTTGCCTGTAAAAGAAAGAATAGTGTTTATTTGCCACTATGTATGCCATATTATAAGATGCTGCAACTTATTGTTTCACCATTTATTATGTGTATACTTGTTTTTACTCTGGGCCTACATGCCCTTATCTACAGTAATTAGAGATTAGAAGTCTGATCCAAAAAACTAACTAAAAGTGCGCCTCCCCAGTGTGCACGGTGTACATAAATGCTGTTTAGGTATCTGATATTTTATTACATTTTACAATATTTTACATTTATATTTATAGCGGGAAAATAAATACACTTACCGATCCAAAATGGCATCCAATCCCTCAAAAAACATTTCTTCTTCCACTGAGTCACCGCGGACACATCGCTCTCCGGTTCCGACAGCTCCTGGTCCGAGGTGTCACTCAGCCTTCTCGTACATATTTCCGCAGCTTCCAAGGCTGAAAACCGCGTCTTCTCTGTTCGTTTAGCCATAACTTTGAAACAAAGGCAGAGCACCAACACGCACGGAGTATGTACTGTACTATACTGTACTATACTGTACTGATGTACTGTGTACAGTAAACACCTCAAACTGTATATATAAACTCTTTTTTTGACTGCCCATTGGCTATTAGGTAAAGCGTCACTAGTGCGTAACGCGTAACCATTGGCTGCGTAAAAGACGCACGCTTTACGCACACAGTCTGTTTGCGTTTGTGCCGGCGGTTACGCATCATCCAAGCGGCGCAGGTATACAGAAAACCATGGCTTGTGATATGTCATTGTGTTCATTGGCTCGTTGACTGTAAGGGAAAAATATCACTCCGCGCCTGTAATCAAGTTTGGGTGATTGTGCACGAGGGGAAGTGGGGAGTAAACTTTCTGAGTTCTGTACCACTGATTGGCGATGTGGGGCTTTAGTAACCGAAAACTTGCACTCTATTGGCTGACCAAAGTGCCAATTAAATGCTAACTCTTTCGTTTAGCATAGACAGTAGCGTTATTGTGCTCAGTAAATATCTTAGCCCTGAAATCGCCAGAAGAAATGCAAAAAAAAGTGACGGCTCACTTTTCACGTTTGGAATACTTTGGAATACTTTCCGGCATAGAGGAACTAATTCATTTTGTGGACATATTTTCTTCACTGGATTATATTCTCTGGACCTGTACGGACCAAATGAGACCAACTTTCTGGGGATATGTGGATGTTTGACAGAATGAGAGCCCTCAAAAGGTAAGAACAGTCCAAATCCTTTGCACGTGCTTTTCTGTAAAACGGCTGTCTTGTCAGTGCTGTTGTGGTTACTGTGGAAAATGATTTGGATATTCAAAAAGACGATACTCGTAGCTTTAATTTGATGTGTATATTGTTAGTGTGGACGACGGAGATTCATATGCAAATTGCTGTAGCGTTGTAACTCGGCGGGCCGTCAGATCCTTATCAGGTTAAATAAAAAAAGTACCCACCTACCGTCGAGCGAATGAATTCTAATGCTGCGAGGTCAGACGGTTTCTACGAAGTGAAGCCGTCTAATGTATCAGGCTAAAACATCTCGCAAGTCAAAGCGAGAACTGTGTTATTATTAAGTCGAAACTGTGTTATTATTATTTTTGAAACGTGGTGCAATATTTCAGATACAGGATATTTAAAGCGTTGAAAGTTGGCGATAAAGTCCACAGGAAGTAGAGTCACTATCGCTAATCTGCAGCTTCACCTCGATCTGTGCACTGTGTGGATGTAAACAGACACACGTCAGGAACTACTCTTGCCTTTTTACTTTTAAAGAGTGCCTCAAACTGGATTAATAGTGCGGTTTTGTGGACTAGATGTCATTATTTGCGGAGAATAGTTTTTATGGATAATGTAGATGAGATGCTGCACTTTAAATTTACCACTTTACGAGAGGTGAGTAATAAAATCTTCTCATTATTTTCACTCTAGTTTGTATGTTGTGCCTTTGTGTCTGTCCCTGTTTTATTGGCTGTTACCGTAGCGTTGCTGATGTTTGGTGGTTATGATCTGACAGAGCAGCTCAGAGTCACACTGACACCACAAACACGAGGAGCAGCAGCTTCAAAATCGCACACGAAGACATAAAGTTGGATAACTCCTCCCGCCTCAAACTCAGGGAGAAGCAAATCGCAGCCAAAATCGGGCAAATTCTCCTTTTAGAAATAGAAACTGATTTGCGGACAAAATGGCAAAAATAAAAACACCAGGATCATGTAGAGCGGATTAGTACGAACATTTTAATCCCAAAATGAGGAGCCTGACAGTTGCAGTTACAGAGAAAGAGGTGAATTTTTCTCAATACAAAGTGAACTGATGCCAGAGTCAATGGAGCTGAAAGTGCTCCCATGCTCACTTCCTTTTTAGAAGCACGTTAGCTGTGTCCATTTATATATACAGTCTGCACTTAGACCTCTACAAACATATTTTAAAACGTGATTCTTGTAGTATTAATTAGTCACTTCACATTTTTTGGTCAGTTTTCCTAGACACATTCAATTTTAAACTATAAAATTAAATCGTATTATTAAAACATAAATCGCAATGTTGGTCAGAAATGTTGCTATAAGATTTTTTTTCCCTCCTAGCTATAAGCAATATTTTTCCCTGTAAGCCGTGATCCTTTAAAGAGAGTTATGAATGAAAATACCTGACATTACAGTAGTGGTAAAGCTTGGATCTGTCTATTTGAATTAATTTACATGAAAATCTGCATAATATGTATGTTTTGCATCAGATGGCCTTTCTCATGCAAACAGTTGTCGAGATTTCTGAGGACACGTAATGCAAATCAGGAGCTATGTGGTGCTTAAAATGTATTGAATTCTTAGTGGTCTTCTTCTTGCATAAAATCATATTGTGCTTCACATGCAGTGGTGGAATGTACTAAAGTAAAAGTAGTAGGGATGTAAGGAAATTCAAAATCTCTTGGTGCCATATTATCACAATGCACATCTCACGGTACGATATTTATTGCGATATTTTGGAGAGGCTTATATAACTGTAGATAGGACACCTTTCTGCTTTTAAAATACCTTGACTAGATTTTGGTGTGAATTATTTTCATCATAATCCCCAAAATTCAAATAAAAACATATTTCTTCATGTTGTTTGCACTGAAATGAATCATGGGATATGTAGTTCTCTATGTTTATAAGCTGTTTCTTCTACAAAAAACAATGTATTTAAGCAAAGGAACTTGTAAATCGATATGTTTTTGACAGTCCACAATATTATTGTGAGACATTATATGATACGATATCATGATATTTCGGTTATTGTTACATCCCTAAAAAGTAGTAAAGTATTTATTTATTTATGGAGGGTCCACCATCTGCTTATCTCCATGGTGATGATATTGCTTTGGCAGAATGGTATTAAACAAAATTCTTTTATTTATTCCATTACAGGTGATTTTATTTCTCAAAACTACTGCAAAATATGCATTATTTCTGTCAGCAGGTCCACTTCTCCACAGATCTGACCTGTAACCTGGCCTGATGTTGTGGTCTGCCATAGTGTAGAACATTACAAAAACAACATGAACAAACAATATGAAAAAAGAAGCACTATATACAACAACAACAAACAACAAACAACAACAACAACAACAACAGCAATAACATGGACATCCTACCGAAAAAAGTTACACAATGCACCTTTAAATACATTTTAAAGTGGATACTTTTTACTTTTACTTCACTAAATTTGGGAGCAAGTATCTGTACTTTCTACTACACTACCATTTTAACCTGCTCTGAAAAGTGTTTTTTATTATAGTTTGAGACCTGCTGAAAAGACTGAGGGTTTATTTTTTTAACACATTTGTAGTCTGAGGAAACGAAAATAAAAAATTAAAACAGCTAGGGAAAAAAGAGTTGTTTCTGTTGAGCAAAATTCAGCACAAATCTTTATCAAAATCACAACATCTGAAGATTTATTAGACCTCAAAATCTGCGCAAGATACTTTTTACTCTTCAAATATATTTTTAAACATGTCCTTTAATACTTTCACTTAGAAGTAGATATTTACATGTGATACTTTTACTTTTACTTGAGTGTTTCTTTGCTCCAGTATCCAGTAAACACAGTCTAGTCCTTCTTCCACCTCTGTCCAAATGGAAATCCATGACATGCCTCAGTTTGTACATTAATACTTGCAACATTAAATCATAATAGATCATCTGTGCTGTAATGAAACTGCATTTGAATAACTCTGGGCTAACGTTGGTCATTAAGCAGCGAGATTAAGACCGAGAGAGGGCAGGAGAGTGTGAAGAAGTCTAGTCTTAATTAGTGCTACTTCATAGAGAGACACGGGTGTAGGATTTAAATGTACTTCTGTTTTATTGCTCCTACAACTGCCCACAATGTAACAGACTCTGAAGTATATTTGTAGTTCTTAAGTAGTTTAGTCATTTAACCAATTGATGGCGTCTTAGTTGAGTGGATTTTCTATTAGTCTGCAAATGTTTTGAAGGATTTACTGTATGTGCACAATGTCAGAAAGAAGAAACCAGGTGAGTTTTGGAAGTTTTAATCTGCCTTTTAACTTAAGAAGACGCTGTTTACTTGTATTTATCAGTATACATAATTTTGACAGTTTTTGCCAGTGTCTTGCCCTCTTTTCTTCACTACGGCTGTTACATCTACACATTTATGGCTTGTACCTTAAAGACGCACCATGTACCTTTTCTGATTGGAACCATGGAGATGCATCATAGGGTCCGGTCGATCGGTAACGGAGGGAAACGGGCAGATTTTTTACATTCAAATAGCTCTTATTCAGAAACTAGAGGGACTATTGAAATAAGTAAGGTATTAGAATGTAGGAAAGAGTTAACACTCCAACAGAGTAAAGTTAAACCTGCGATATTCTTTCAAGTTGTTGACAAAATTTTTAAAACTCATGTCGGTAACGGAGGGAATGAAATATGCAGCACTTTTTGGCCAAAAAATACAAACAGCGATAAGTAGAGATTCTCACTTACATATCCTTAACAAACTGGTTTGAATATTTGCTTCATATAGTTTTCTACCATATGGCAAGGCAAGGCAAGTTTATTTGTATAGCACAATTCGTACACAAAGTAATTCAAAGTGCTTTACAGAATAAGAAATACATTAAAATTATAATAAAAACAAATCAAAACATAAATAATCATGAAGATTAAAATTAAAAAAGAGAGACATAAATTGGAGAGAAGAGTGCGGAATGAAAACCTTTCAGTTATATGCACAGTTAAACAGAAATGTTTAGAGTCTGGATTTAAACAGCGTCACAGAAGAGTCTGTCTCACATGTTCAGGAAGACTGTTCCAGGTTTTAGCTGCATGAAACTGAAACGCTGACTCCCCT